ATGAGCTTCCTGTAAATCGAATTCCTGAGCCAAACAGTATGAAGCTTTGGAGGCTCTTCACACATCTTAAGCAAATTGCCTTCTAGAAAGGTTTTGCCACTTCACAGTCCTGCCAGCTGTGCACAAGAGGTCCCACGCCACCAGGATGGAGCCAGCGCTGCCAGCCTCTCATTTTGTAGTGCTCCTTTGATGGGCCCAAAGTGGTAACTCTCCATCCTAATTTACATTTATTTTATTATGACTAAGTTCAACATTTTCAACTGAGTTTGCCTTTTGAACTTCATTTTTCATAAAAGGACTCTTACTGCCTTTTATTGCCCCAACATTTCATTATGAAAATTCTTACTGCTCTGTGAATGTTTTATTTATGAGAACTTTCAGCACTCAAAACCTAACATGTCCTATAGTCAATTATATTTGTATTTTCCATTATAATTCTTTCCATGGCTGTGAAGTCTACAATGGCCTTCCTCAATCACAGTTGAGATAATGAATCATTTCTACTTCTTTTTCTAGTTAGTAGTATTTTTCTTTTCTTTTCTTTTTTTTGCATTGAACTCTTTAAATAAATCACCTGGCATTGATTTTGATCATTAAGATAAAGGGAAGGGGAGGTAAAAATTGCTTTTGGTTTCCCAAATGGATAAATATCACTTGCCATCCCCCCTTAGTGAACAATCCTTCCATTCTCTATTCATTTGTAATGTTTCTGTTCTCAGAAACTACATTGATAATCTGGGGATCTTCATACGGGTTTTCTGTTCTATTCCATTGAGATGTCTTCCTATGTTTGAAAAAAATTATTTCATTTTATGTTATACTGTAATATCAGTTAGGGTTAGAACTCTTGAAGTCTCTATTTCTTTTTTTTTCTTCTTTGTTTAGAACTTACTAATGGGAGTGTATTGTATGTGTGAACAGTGTCAGAGACAGAACAAAAAGATACAAACCTCTAGTTGGTGTGGCAGACATTGAAATTATAGAGTGGGTTTTTTTTTTTCTAATTAAGTTACAAGCAAGTAGTTAAACTCCATAACTAGATTCTGCACTGCATAGCCCAGAACACTGAGTTCACCCACTTACCTGGAGTAACCATACTAGATTAAAGAAATACAATTCTGTCCTCATAAAGACAATTTCCAGAAAGAGCCACCTATCCCAATGAGGTACTTGACACTAGGGTTAGCAGAGCTAATCACTACATCATTTTTTAGAAGACTGACTTTTCTCTGTTTCTTTCTCTTTGGTACTATACAAGAGGTCCACCAACTTGTTATGAACAAACATTAAATCTCTATTTCTTATCAGATCGGTTACCCAAGCATCCAACCTCGATGTCCAACTTCCTGTCTCATCTTGGGTTTCCCAAAACACCATTTGTCCACACATGTACACATTTTTCAAGCTATTTCTTCTCTGTGGAAATAAAATCGCGATACTGGGATCCATAGGGGCAGCCCAGGGGTGGGTATGACCCTGAAATCTGGAGGCAGGGTCAGGAGATCTGGATTTAGCGCTGCCCCAACCAGTCAGGCACTGTGTCTCTGGACATCTCAGTTCCCTTTTCTGTAAAATGGGGTTACTGTAACCAAATGAGTAGAGAGCATCAACACAGCTTCATTCTCCACTCAACAACTGTGTGTGAGGAGCAGGAATGCCAGAGTGGGCAAGGAAAGAATGATCTGAAGAAATGGCCATCAGGAAACTTTTAGGAGAAAAAGTAAGAATTGGGGCTCGTTCAGTGGAGCCTCGTGATTCAGACAGTAAAGAATCTGCCTGCAATGCAGAAGAGCTAGGTTCGATCCCTGATTGGGAAGCTCCCTTGGAGAAGGGAATGGCAACCCACTCCAGTATTCTTGCCTGGAGAATTCCACAGACAGAGGAGTCTGGCGGGCTACAGTCCATGGGGTCACAAAGAGTCAGACATGGCTGAGAGACTAACACTCTTCAAAACAGAGGGAAAAGGCAACTGCCAAAGAAATGACGACAAGGGCCATGAGGGAAGTGAATGGAATGTTGAGGAAAGAAGGGGGCAGGGGCCCTGCTCTGGAAATTTGAGAGGAGGAGGTGTGGGGAGAGCTTTCCTGGGATGAAGGACTAAGTGAGCAAAGGCTCTAAGACAGGAACTGAGGGAATTTGCCGTGGGCTGAGGACAGAGAGCTGAACATCCAAGGGGATTGAAGAGATGAATGGGCAGATCCGGTGAGCTCTGTTGGCTTTGAGAGACAGAGCCTGGATTTTGTTATAAGAGCGATGGGAAGTCACTGAGAGATGGTGTTAGGGAGAAAAATGATATGATCTTATTTATGTATTAAGGATCTGCTTTTACTGCTGTGTGATAAGGAGATAGGTGAGGAGGAGGAAGGACGGCTGTGAGGCTCCTGTGGCAAGGAGATGGGGGGTGGGGGGAGTGAAGCAGGTGGTAGTGGAGGGGGAAGGGTCAGACTGGGGAGGATTCTGGAGATGGAAATGGCAGGAATTCCTGGGACTCAATGGGAGGCGGCGGAGGACAGGGTAGACTCCAGGCTGACTCAAAGGGCTGGGTTTGGAAAACCGGATTGAAGGCTGGGCCTTTTGCAGAGAAGTGAAAGTGAAGTCGCTCAGCCATGTTCGATTCTTTGTGACCCCATGGACTGTAGCCTACCAGGCTCCTCTGTCCATGGGATTTTCCAGGCAAGAGTACTGGAGTGGGTTGCCATTTCCTTCTCCAGGGGATCTTCCCAACCCAGGGATCGAACCCAGGTCTCCCACATTGTAGGCAGACGCTTTACCATCTGAGCCACCAGGGAAGTCCAGGGCAAGGCAAGTCTGGGGAGAGGAAGTTAGCATCGTGATTGCTGTGGTAAGCTGGATGAAGGACATCCATGTAGAGCTGTCAGCTGGGTAGCCCGGGCAGGCCAATCTTGAGAGGGTAGGGCTAGGGGACTGCAACTGGGTCATGAGTTCTACCCAGGGTGAGAACATAGAGGAAGATGGAAGAGCCCAGACTCTTCCAAGTGTTGAGGGAAATCAACACTTAGACGGTGGGTGGAGAAGACAGTGAGGGGGGAGGTTTTTTGTTGTTGTTGTTTTTAATTTTTGGCTGTACCCCACAGCATGTAGGACCTTAGTTCTGTGACCAGGAATCAAACCCATACCCCTGAAATGGAAGGCTGAGTCTTAACCAGTGGACTGCCAGGGAAGTCCCTAGTGGAGAGGTTAACTGGGAGCTCTTGGTGTCACGGAGGCCAAGGAAAGGTGTTTTCAGGAGGAAATGTCAGCTGGGTCAGAAGCTGCCACAAGCCTGAGTGAGGGAAGGAGGGAAAAGCTGGACGGGCCAATGGGAATTGAAAAGAACAGGTGGGGATGATGCCCGGCCAGTGGGCAGTGCCATCACCTGTGAGGAGCTGGGTTCATGTTGGGAGGAGAAGTTCCGGTCCTTCCTCCTGGGTACATCCTCTGAGCACATCTCCCGGGTCCCAGCCCCCAACCCTTCCATCCCCACCAACCCTCAGAGCTTCCTTTTGCCTCTAGTCTCACTCCCTTAGAAGTTCTCATAATGTCTTTTTGGTAAAAAGAAAAAAATTCTGAACCTCATTTCAGACATTCGATTTCAAGCAGAAAATAATTATCCTGTCTCTACCTAGAGCTCGCTGCCTGTTGCTAGGTACCGAGAGGTACAAAAAAAAAAAGAAAGAAAAAAACGAATAAAGACATGGCCCCAGACATGAGGCAGGATGAAACCACTGCTAATTAGAGCTGCAGTCACTATGCAGAGGGCAGAGAAAAAGCCTCCAGAAAAACATGGAGATCAGGTTCCTTGGTAACAGGTACATGATTTAATTTGCCCCTTTCTGCAAACACAACTAATCCCTTCACCTATACACTTAATCCCACCATCTCTTTTACCTGTCCCTGCTTTTCAAACTCAGGCTCACACAGCCATCCTCTCCAAATGGCAGTCTGAAAGAAATAGCACCTTCTAGAAACTTCTGTCCCCTCCAACTCCCCTTTGCCCTCCTTTCTCAGTCCGTCTCTAGTTCATCCTCCATCCAGCTGGACTTTTCCCCCTTCCCCAAAGTTGCAGGGGCAGGGGTCCCCACAGTCCAGGTCCAGGGCATGACCTCATCTCCCCCAGTGTCTGTGGCTCTGACCCATCAGTGGCCACTCTGTCCTGGAAACTCCTCTTCCTGGGCTTTCGAGGCCTGTCTTTCCTTATATTCTCTTTCTCGCACTTGACTTTCATGTCTACACTGGTCCCATCCAAGGTCAGTGTCATCCAGGGCTCGGTCTGCTCTTTCACTGAGTACCTTTCCTCTCAATTTCATACATCCCTAATGCTTTGCAGACCCCCTGGAGCTAATTCTCCAAACTGACTGTCCAGTCCAAGCCTCCTCTGAGCTCTAGGCCAACACATTATTCCTTCTCTTTAACTATCACCCTCCCACATGCAGTCCAGAGCTCCAGAACCTAAGAGCCAATCATGCCTCAACACTGTGACCAAAATGAAACTCCTGGTCTTTTTAAAAATTTTTATTTATTTGGCTGTCTTAGCTACAGCACTCAGGATCTTTGCAGCGTGGAGGATATTCATTTGCAGCTTGCAAACTCTTAGTTGGGCCATGTGGGATCTAGTTCCCTGACCAGGGATTGAATCCAGCCCTCCTGCATTGGAAGCATGGAGTCCTAGCCACTGGACCACCAGGGAAGTCCTCCTGGTCTGTTTTTAATCACTTGGTTATCTTTTTTTTTTCATTCAAATTCCTAATCATTCTTCTCCCCAAGCCATCCTCATCTGGGGTTTCCTATATTGGGGAATGATGCTCCTGCTATGGTAGGAGACGCTTAGCAGCCACCTAGAATCTCCTTTGACCTCACCTGCAACATCCCATCATGAAGCTGTGGATCTTACCTCCTAACCCTTTCCATCATCACCACTAGCTTAGTCCACGCCATCATCTCTTGCTTGGTCCAGTGCAGTTATCTGTTAATTTGTCTCCTCAAATCCACCCTTGCTTTCAATGATCCAATCTTCACAGAGCAGCCAGAGTAGTCATTTAAGAGTACACATCTTGGGCTTCCCTGATGGTCTAGTGGTTGGGAATTCACCTGCTAGTGTTGGGGACACGGGTTCGATCCTTGGTTCGAGAAGATCTCACATGCCAGGAAGCAACGAGGCCTGTGAGACACAAATACTGAGTCAGTGCTCTAAAGCCCAGGAGCCACAACTGCTGGAGCCCATGCACCTAGAGCCCATGGTCTGCAAGAAGCAAGGCTGGTGCACCAAACCTGGGAAGTGGCCTCTGCTCGCTGCAACTAGAGAGAGTCTGTGTGTGGCAAGAAAGACCTAGTTCAGCCAAAAAAAAAGTTAAAAAAAAAAAAAAGAATACATATCTTTTTCATGCCCACCTCCTGCTTCAAATTGTTCAATGGTTTGAATGATTTCAAAGCAAGATGGACTTCGATTTCTCCAGTCTCATCATATACCATGGTTCCCTGGTCTCTGACGTGATCCCCACCTGATAGGCATTTCTCTTTAGCTGTTGCTAACAGAAACCACTCCTCATGACACAGCCTGATGGCTGAGAGTCACAAAGGGCAGGACTATTTCTCTCATCAGTGACTGGCTTCTGAGTAGGTATTTGGTGCAAATCTGATCAATGAGAGTTGGTGGTGGTAGAGTCTTCTGGGAAGGGTTTCTTAGTCCTCAAAAAGAAGTATAAGGAAGAACCACTTTTTTTCATCCATCTCTGGATGTTGGTATGGTGGATATAATGCCTGGAGTGGTTGTAGCCATACTGTGACCATGGGGACAGGAGCCCATACTCAGGGGCTGGGCGAACTGAAATATGTACAAAAACTGGGTCCGTGATGATATTAGAGCTCCTCCCTTGCAACTCCTCATTATGTATGGTAATAAATCTCTTACTGTTTAACAATTTTTTAATTGGGTTTTTGGTCTCTTGTGTCAAAATCATTCTTACTGTTAAGTGCTGTAGCCATGATGGCCTTCTGGTTTCTGGAATATATCATACACTCAGCACAGAGTTTTGCACATGCCATATCCTTATGTGCAAAGCTCTTCTCATTTCTAGTTGATGTCCACTCCCCTGATCAAATGTTACTTCTCTGACCCAGGAAGATGTCTCCATGGCACAATCAGAGTTTAAAATTAGGAATTTCTTTATTGTGTTGATTAATATCTGGCTCCCTTGCTGGACTGGCAGTTCTAGGTGGGGAAAGATGAGGTCTGTCTTTATTCAGTGTTGTGTACCTTCAGACACAACCGTCCCAGTGTTTAGATGAACCAAGTTCACTGATGGTCAGGATCCTACTAAGGTGGTGCACCCAAAATAATTTAACAGAAATTACTTTAATGAAAGGATAACTCCCAGAGTGTGGCAGGGATAAAGGTTCCAGCGATGACAAATGACCCAGGGACAAACCATCAGTTGGAAACCATCAGTACCTCTTGTTAGTCACTTAGTTGTGTCCAACTCTTTGCAGCCCCATGGGCTGTAGCCCTCCAGGCTCCTCTGTCCATGGGATTCTCCAGACAAGAATACTGGAGTGGGTTGCCATTTCCTCCTCCAGGGATCTTCCCAACCCAGGGATTGAACCTGGGTCTCCTGCATTGCAGTCAGGATTCTTTACCATCTGAGCCACCAGGGAAGCCCTCTAGGCCTAAAGAGATGAGAGGAGGCTCTGGGTTTTCAGAACCTGGAGAGAAAATTGTGGCTTTAAGAGAGGGATCCCACCTGTGGCCATGAGATTGGTGGTCACTGCAAACCCACAGCCTGCAGGCAGGTGACCAGGGGAGACTCACTCCCCTTTCCCCTCGACTCTCACACTGGTTCTTCCATTGGTTAGAATCAACTAGAAGCCAGAGGGCAGGGAGCACGGGTGGTGGTACATGTTGGCCATCTAGGGCATGGGACAGGATGCAGAAAGATAGAGAATGGCTCTGGAAGGACCAGTAAAGAATATCCAGAACAATCACCCAATGACCCGCCAGCTATTTCCCCTTTCTTGTCAGTCTTCACCACCCTGCAGAATCAGACAACCTGGCCTACAGGTTTTCAGGATCAGAGAGGGCATCACAGGGAGACTTCTCCACGGCTCGCTCTCCTCCCCTGAGACATCTCCAATCATACCCACTTGTTTCCTTTCAGCCGGGTTCAGAAGATGGATCCCAGTACACAAATCATTCCTCTTTTCAGCTCCTCCCTCTCTGCGGGTACCCTTGGTTTGAGAGGAGGAAATTCTAGGGCCTCTCATTAAAAAAAATTCCCCCATTGATCACTAGCATTTTTCTTGCTGCCTCCCACCTCCTTCCACAGTCTCCTAACCTTTACGTCGGAGAGGTCTGTATCTCCTCACCCATTCACTCCAGCGCCCCCTGTAAACTAGCTGTTGCCCCTTCACTCCCTGAAACAGTACTTGTTAAGGTTCATAATAGCCCACTGATTGCTAAATTCAAAGGACTTGGCTTCTCATTTTTCTGAGATTTGGGCCATGTCAGAGTGTTGATTACTTTCTCCTTGAAACTCTTCACTACCTTGGTTGCCTTGGCAACCCCCTCTCCTAGTTGTTTGTCTCATCCCTCAAGTCTTTCCTTCTCCCTCTCCTTTGTCGACCACCTACCTTCAGTCAGCCCCTCACATGTCACAGTAACTCACGATGCTGCCCTGGGTCCTCCCCCTCCCCTCTTTCTCTGGGGACCTTACTCATTCTTGGGTAAGAATTATCCATTAACCTCTATCCCAGGGTCGGCCCCTCCAGTCAAAACTCTTCCTGGTCTAGGATCCAGCTGGGCTCCACTGGGCTGTACCCCCCAGCCCCAAACAGCTCTACCTGAGACTGAGCCCATTTTTATACCCCTCAAACTGGCCCCCATACTGTGTTTCCCCTCCCAAGTTTCCCTTCCCCCCACCATCCACGGAGGGTCCCACCCAAGACACATGTGCATCACCCTCAGCTCTACCCTCACTTTTATCCTGACAGCTAACAATCACCGTGCATTTCTTTCTTTTCTAAAAGTTTCCAGGTTCTGTCCATTCTTCCTGCCCTTGGTCCAGGTCAGGTCTCATCCTACCTTGCCTGGACCATGACCAGAATCTCTGAATTGATCTCCTTACCTGGAGACTGTCACTTTTCCAAATCAAGCCTTCACAGGGCTTCCACAGTGATTTTCCCATGCCACAAATCTGAACACATCACCAATGTGAAAATAGCACCCACTGGCTGCAGGATGGTGTCCAAACTCCTTGATAAGGAGGGCATCCAAGGCCCTGAGGGGTCTGATCTCTGTCCACATCTTCAGTCCACTCCTCACATCTCACTTTCTTCTCTCGTATTCCAGGAACCAAATGCCCTCAAGCTCACTCTAGTTACTCCTCACTCCTGGGGCTTTGCTTCGCTGCTTCCTTTGCTTGGAATGTCCTTCCGATCCCTTGTAGCTTGCTCATTCATCCTCATCTTTAAGAAATCAGGCCAGTGGTCACTTGCTCTGGAAAGTTCTGTACATATCTGTGTTCCATGATTGCACTTACCATGCCGTATCATGATGGTCCACTTACACGATGTGTTGCTGGGCACTATTCTATATGCTACTCAATGTGTTCCCCCACACACTTCCTTACCTGTCACTCTTTGGGTGCGTAACAAACAGGCCCAAACTTTAGCGACTTAAAAGCAAAATTTATTATTTCTCATGGTTCAAGGGATTGACAGGGCTCAGCTGGGTGGTTCTTGCTTAAAGTCACTCATGCAGTTGCAGGCAGAAGGCAGCTGGAGCTCAAGTCATCAAAGGCTCAACAGGGCTTACTGAGCAAGATTCACACAGCTGGCAACTAAGGCTGTGGATCAGAATGCTCGCATGTGGATTCACCAGATGGGTTGGACTTTTCACAACATGGCAGCTGGGTTGCAAGAGGGAATGTCCTGAGACCAAGTGTTTCAAGAAGCCTGTGAGGAAGCTACAGAGCTCCTAATGACCTAGTTTCACAAGTTCCAGAATGTCTTTTCTGCCCTTGGCCTAATGTTCTGTTGGCCAAGTAAACACTAAGGGCAGCCCAGATTCACAGGGAGAGAAATTAGACCCTACATCTTGATGTGAGTAGTATGTGCATACAAGGAGGCAGGGATTGTTGGCAGCCACGTTGGAAACTAGCTTCCATGGTCACCCTCTCTGCATTCAGTCACAGCTTTGGGGGAAGATCTGGGTTGTTACAGCATGAAGGCAATGAGAAAGAAAGTTGATGGTTTCACGTAGTCTCTTTAAACTAACAACAGAGATAGGGTGTTTGGTTGTGGTCAGTGGTTTGTAAACAGAAAAGAACTCAGGGGACTCAGAACTGGAAACTGATGCCATGAACATGAAACAGGGATAATGCAGAAGTGGTCCTTCTGCCTGGAAGGAATAAAATCCTGACTATCTAGAGGGAGGAGAGCAATCACATGGAGACAGTCGGACTAACAGTAGACACATCTCCTGAAAGAAATTTGGGAGTATCCCAGAGTAGAAGTGAATATCGCCTGGTTTCTCATGGTGTTTTCCAGGAGACCAACACCTCCCAGCAAGGGCTGGAGAGCTTGAGATCCCTGATGGGAGGAGGTGTTTGACAGATGGGCCTGGGGTGTCCTCCATGGTCCAGTGAGTCCCTGTGGCAAGGTAGGGGTGATGAGGGCATAGTATAGCCGGTGAGTATAGCTGGTGGATTTAGAAATGCTTTGTGGTCAGGACAAGGATTCAGGGGCGACACGCTGGTTCAGAGGATGGCAGTTGATACAGCCCGTGATCTAGGATCAGATGCATGCCCTGGGACCAGGTCAAGACAGGAGAGTCCAGAACATGACGCATCCTCAGGAGAAGGGAAGCAGTGGAAAGCAGAGAAGCTGGAAGTGGACCAAGAATCTACTTAAGAGAGATTTAGGAAACATCCAGATGTAACTGCATTTACCTTAAAGTGAAAAGATTTTGTGCTTCTGAACAGAAAGGGGTAGGGGTGCAGGTAAGAGTGACCTTGATCACGGAGAAATAAAGAAGCTGTTTTGGCAAGGCTCTGTTTGTGGCAGTTTCTGGGCCAGCAAACCAGGGCCATCAACTTTTCATTCTCTCTCATCTCGTGTTTTGTCAGACTCAGGCCTCCTATTTCTACCTCTAATGTTGCTCTTTTAACCATCTCACTTTAAAAATATATATATTTATTTTTGGCTGCACTGGGTCTTCGTTGCTGCGAGGACTTTCTCTAGTTGCTCAGAGTGGGGACTACTCTCTAGTTGCGGTGAGTGGGCTTCTCATTGCGGTAGCTTCTCTTGTTGCAGAGCATGGGCTCTAGGTGCACAGGCT